AACCCAAGGCCTCTTGGGTTAAGCTAAACACTGATGGCGCTTTCGACAGACATACCGGAGCTACTGGAGGAGGGGGTCTGATTAGGGATCATGGTGGGGCACTCATCTCTGCCTTCCATGGGCCGCTCTGGGCCTCCTCGAGTTATGATGCAGAGATTCAGGCGCTTCAGATTGGTCTTGAGATTGCTGCCTCGATCTCCTCTCATGTCTGGATAGAGATGGATGCAACGACTGTCATCACACTTTTGACATCTGGCCATCAGGGCTCATGGCAGATCCAACATCATCTTATGCGTATCAGAGACACCCTTCGCTCGACCCATTATCAGGTCTCACACATATTCTGGGAGGGAAATCGGCCTGTTGATTTTCTTGCTAGCACGGGGGCATCTATACCCCAGAGACGCACCCTTCTGCCTGAGGACATTCCCCTCCGGCTTCGGACGCTCATTCGGATGGACCAGTTAGAGTATCCATCCTTCAGATTTGGTCGACCGTCACCGCCTGCCCCTGACTAGATTTGACATTTTGGTCTCCATGCCAGGTCACTCTGACCAGGATGACCTTTTATGAGGTTTTGAGTTTAGATCCACATCGAATAATTTTGTGATCCTTGTACTTTTTTTATTTTTATTTTTATTTTTTCTGTTTTTTATATTGCTCTAGGTATTTTGGACTTGGATGTAGACCATTGACTTTTTAGCCCTATCTGGGCCTTTATATTCACAGGTCGGGGGTATAGCCTCAACCCCCATCCCATCATGGGATGTTTATATAAAAAAATAAATAAATAAATAATAAAACAAAGGTACTGTTCTGCCGCAGAAATTCAAAACTATTTAAATTTTATCCTTCACCTCATTTTTTTTTTTTTTTGGTACAATCAAAAATATAAAATTTAAAATATCTTTACATTCCCCCTCTCCCTAAGGCTATGTTTGGTTCAAATGAGGAGAGGGGAGGGGAGACAATTTAATGGAGGGGATGGGAGAGGAGGAAATTTAATGGAGGGGATGGGAGGGGAAGGGAGGGGAAGTAATTTTACCTTGTTTGGAGGGATTGTGTAGGAGGGGAGGTGAAGGAAAATGATTAACCTTGTTTGATTAGAAAATGAAGGGGGAGGGAAAATAAAATTATATAGACAAATATACCTTTCTTTAAGTTTTTTTATATGCGGTAATGTTGTAATTATAATGAATTCAAAAGGACAAATTAGTACACTTGGACATAATTTTCTTATTTCCCCTCCAAATTCCCCCAAAATTGGAGGGGTGCCATTTTTTCGCCGGGGAGAGAAAATGAGGGACAAATTTCACCTCCCTTCCCCTTCCCTCGGTGAACCAAACAGCAGAAAAATGTAAGATCCCCTCCCCCCCTTCCCCTCCCCTCGGTTTCCTTCGAACCAAACAATACGTAAAGCTACTAAATTTGACCCCCAAGCATAGTTTTCAAACCTCATCTGGAAATTGACCAGGGTCGGCCTACAAATCACCGAGTCAATTGATAATTAATTTTAAAAATTTTAAAATTATGCATATAATATATTTATTGTATCATATACATAAAAGTAACAAAAATAAATATTTTATATATATTTTTTCGTGTTGATAATATTGTGTCTAATAATAAATATTTATCATATAAATATATATGTATACATATTTTTATTTTTAAAATAAAAAATTATTTTGAAATAAAATGATGACCAAGTCAAGCTGGATTGGCCCCAATCGGGAAAATTCCGGGTCGATCGGTTTGTTGTCACTCGACCAGAAACACCTACTCAAACCGGTCCCGACTCTAGACCGACACCTACTCAAACCGATCCAGACTCCAGACCGACTCGCCGGGCCGATCGAGTTGGAAAAAACAGTTCCCAAGTGCTCCTCCCATAATAGTGGAAGGGTCTCGCACTTCAAAATTCAAAATCCTCCCTATATATAATTCTCGAATGCGCTGAGCCTACGTGGCTGCTTCTGGTGCTTCGGAATCCTATTTGGCGAAGAATCATGCTTCGTAATTAGGTTTGGATAAATAATATTGATATATTAATAAGTAATAATCTAGGTTCGGGTATTCTATAAATATTATTTAGCTAACTTAGGTATTTTAATATCACTTTTACTAATATAACCATTTAATTTTTTGTAATTTTACATAGTGAGGCACTAAGTGACTAATATATCCCTGAATTTTGATTTGTTTCCTTCAATAAGCTATTGAATTATAAATGTATTTTAAAAGTTAATAACTTTTGTATTTCTTGTATAATATATCAAATTAATTATCTTTTGATGATTTTCGATTTGACATCCATATTATATATATGAAATAAATAAATTATATTTATCTTTATAATAATAAAAAATAATAATGTTTATTAATATTATTAGAAAAATAAAATTATTTCTCAATTGATATATTTATATGTAATGTAATTATATATTGTAAGTTAAAAAAATAGTATAATATAACACAAGTTGCACAAATAAAAAGTGTCGCAATAAATATATAATAATATATATAATCTTATAAAAGGTATTTAAATTTTCAAACTATTTTGTCTCATTAATTTTAGATTTTTTTTTTAAAAAAAAAATTAGCAAGCACCCGTGTAATACACAGGTGTTGTACGGTGAAATAAAACCAAATGAAAACAAGAAGGGAAAATATAAAACAATAAAAAACGGGTAAATTGCACCAAACCCCCCTGTAATATACTAAATCTGCGCGTTTTCTCCCTGTATTTTAAAAATTGCGCCATACCCCCTTGTAATATACTTTTGCATGCACACTCTCCCTGCTACGTTAACGCCGTTACAAATCCCCCTGACGGCGTTACTTTTTGT